TGTGACAAATACTGAGTGTGACCAACATCCCCTTCTACTGGTCCCATTTTATCCATAGCTAACTGACTAGTACACATACAATCCAAGATGGTGTTTCTTCTTTGTTCTACTTTCCCGCCAAAAAGCTTTAAACAAAGGAGCTCCCAGGATAGCCCTCCAGAAGAGATGGACAAACCCCTCCATGGTATTTCCCCTTCCCCTAATGATGCAGCAGGGCCCCTGCCAATCAGACCTACTTGGGTGGGGTTAACCAGAAGCAAGGCCGGCCTCCCAGCCAATCAACCCTAGGGGGTGGGGAAAAGGCCAGATATACCAGAGGGGAGGGATAGAGAGTTGTTATTGTTCGTCTGGGGTGTAACCTGGCTGCGGCAGGTCACCCTCCTCTGCGGTTCCTTGGAGTTTATCCTAGCTGAGGCAGGAAGACTCCCTCCAACAGGTTGGATCTCCCTACCTCCCAGAGGACTGTTTATACCTGGATCCCCTTGAGGTATGGTTATTCTGTGGATTTACCCAAAGGCACTTTGCTCCTTACCCCTTTGAAATTGCCCAAAGGAACTCCCTGCCTTTGTGTTTGTATTTGCCTGGAGGGCGTGTGCATCTTGGTGTGGATTGCTCCAAGGGAGGCTCTTTGTTTCGGACCAGGAGTGTTTTGGACTTGGGGGAGTTCACATGCTAATGCTGTGTTCCTGATCTACTGCTTGCTGTATATCTGAAATAAACTCCTGTGTAAACCCCTCTTACAAGTGTGGTATTTCCCTGTGTGTGCTAGTTGGTCATACGTCACACGTTTACGTGACAGCAGTCACTCTTGAATACATCCTGACTTAAATGACAACCCTCAAAGGTTGGGGAAAATATCCACACCGGGATTTGAACTCGCATCTCCTCGGGGGAAACAATGTGCGATTTATCCAATGAGCCACTGAGACAGTTCCTGTGGGGAACGGTTCCCGATGACCATAACAACCCAATGTCCTAAAGTAGCAGTCACTCTTGAATGAAGCCTGAAGAAAATGACAAATCTCAAAGGTTGGAGAAAGTATCCACACCGGGATTTGAACTCGGGTCTCCTCTGGGAAACAACGTGTGATTTATCTGATGAGCCACTGAGACAGTTCCTGTGTGGAATGGTTCCAGATGACAATAACAACCCAATGTCCTAAAGTAGAGTCACTCAAGTCACTCTTGAATGCAGCCTGAAGAAAATGACTACCCTCAAGGGTCGGGGAAAGTATCCACACCGGGATTTGAACTCAGGTCTCCTCGGGGAAACAACATGCAATTTGACCAATGAGCTACTGAGACGGTTCATGTGTGGATCAGTTCCAGATGACAATAACAACCCAATGTCCTCTTGGGCCTCTTAAAAAAGGGAGCCTCCTCAATAGCCAAATGGTTAAGGCGCGTGCCTACGATACCGAAGGTCGTGAGATCGATTCCCGCCTG